CAGTGAAATAAAGTGCTGAATTATCGGATATATATTTGCAATGAATTTGATAGGGATGGATAAACTGCACAAGCTAAGTAATACGATGATATGCATTCCAACAAAACATTTCCAACCATATTAAGATGCTTCAATGACAGCTTTGAATTATGCTGGTATCTGGTATAACGCAAAAATAGAGAAAGGATAAAATGAGGATAACTTTCTTTTTACTTGACTGGAATGAAGAACAAATTTGAGCAGAATAATGCTGAAGGGCATAAGAGAAATAGCATTTGGGACAAAATCAACTAACCGTGTTAGAAGAAAAGTCACATAACCACTAACACACCCCTGAGGGCATATCTATGCATGCCAAATTGGCAACATTCCCATGCACCACCACCTCGGGGAATGCATAAGAGCACAAGCAGCATAAGAGCACGATTAATTCTTCATTAATATAGCAACAGATAGTTTTAAATAAATGGTAAATGTATCATTCTAAATCTTAATTTAAAAACCTACTCTGTCTATATAGCACAACTTAAGAATTTTTTTAATTGTGGCAGTTGGACTTAAATCATATGTGCTAGACTCTATTTTTTTGAAGTATGCCTAAGCTTAAAGTAAAATAATGTGTCCACTGAATAATAATACTCATGGCAAAAATGAATAAAGCCAACTGAAATAGACTGGCAAATATATTACCATGAAGATATCACATGCATATGTTTATCTGCACAATAAAATGTAAAAAAATGCAAGTTGCCACAGAAGTTTGTGGGTCTCATAAGATACCTGTGTATTCAGTCAGTGTAATCCTACACAGAGTTACACCCTTCTAAAGATTACTGAAATCAATGGGCTTAGAAGAGTTTAACTCTGTTTAGGACTGCAGTTATTTATGGATAACTTTCTCATACCCGCTAAATACCAAAATATGATAATATATTTAACTGCAAAGAAAGCAATCTGTGTTTATAATGAGGTTAAAAAAGAGCACGTTATTTCTAACATGAGAAATGATGCAAAGGCACCACAGAACTTTACCAGAACCAATGATAATTCTTTTTAAAAAGCCCAACTGATCATTCAGTATGTGCTTCCATGCCTTTGATTCTAAGTGAAATGCTTGCTGAAGAGGGTTTTTTAAATTACTGATCTCTATCTTTAACTCCTATATAAAACAGAATTTCTGACTTATTAGGATAATCAAAAATGGGCATGAAATGTGAGAAATACTAGTGCAAAGCTAAAGCAGACCTGCTTCCTCATCCTCCTCATCCTCTTCCTCATCATCTGTACTTGATGACAAGGGAGTTGCTGGAGAGCTAGCTTGATTATTAACATATCCACCATACTGCATGCCTGTGAAGTGGAAAGCACAAACACAAGAATCAGACCGTCAGGAAAGGTAAGAAATTGAAAGCACAACACAGAGCATTAAGAGAGAGTGCAAAACCAAGCATTGTAAAGAACATCTTAACATAAAAAGTGGGCAAATTACCCAAATACTAAGAGAGAGTGCAAAACCAAGCATTGTAAAGGACATCTTAACATGAAAAGTATCTCTTTAAAGCAGTTTAGCTGGCAATTTTCAGTAGCACAATTTGGTTAAATATTAGAGGCAGACAAACAAAGTTAGTAAAACTAAACAACTCAGTGGAGCACATTTTCAGAAGTTAATTTTTTTTTGGATTTCACAAGTATCACGGGAACAGATACACATTTCACTATGCAACCCTTTCCATGTCCTTTGGCATGCTACTTCAACGTCTTTACTGATTTCCAAAGTGACAGAACTTTGGTAATAAGCTAGTCATGCATGAAATGAGTACAAAATGTTACTTGTCCATAATTCACCCACATTGTTTCAACAACTAAGGACATCATTACATATCAACAGTCCTCTACCCTCGGGTTGTGATTAAGCAAAGGAAAACACATGGGGTTATGTCAACTGCAGAAAGTAAAAGCTCTCTCCACACATTCTCTTCCTAACCATGAGAATGAGGTATAACATTTATAAATATGAAGCAACATTCATGTTTTGGAACACACTCTTGTGTGGCTATTATGATTAAACAACTAACGTTATTCTGAATTTTTCTTGATCTGAAATACACTCATGACGTCTCTGGATTTTCATATGGCAGTCAAATTTTCTATTGTACAAGAACTCTGAGATCAATTAAAGAGTTCTTCTTGCAGTTCAGACAGTGCTTAGCAGAAACTGTACAAACATACATATATTCAACAAATACTTTTCTACCTCTGCAGCATATCTGTCTAAGTCTGAATGGACATGTAGAAGCCACGGTATGTGAAGGCACCACTTTTAGGCACTCTTTTACCTGTTACATTATATTATGTAGATCAGTCATAACATGCATCTTTTAAAAATTAGGTTCCAAAACACAGTGATCATCATCAATGTCAACATTATCAGTCAGTGTTGAGAAGCATGTAAAGTTGAAGAGAAATTTAAAATAAAGACCATCACCAGAGGTACCTTGAAAACCTAACCTATCAGACATCTCTTATATGGTATTGTGTTTGAGGCAATGAAGCTTCTCCACAGACAGCACATATCCCTGCCTGGGAGGAGAGAGCCAGAATTGTGCAGAGAGAGAGAGAAACTTGGCAGGATTTGCTTTCAAACAGACATGCATTGGATTGAACTGTAACCAAGTTCACTGGGGCTTATCATCATATATCTGTGCAATACTGTGATGTTCACGCCTACGGCACATTCTCTCTAGGCAGGAAAAGAACAAGAATAACTTCTGTACCTTTGCCTCCATCAATTAAATTAGGCTTTCCCTTCTTTTCCATCCAGGCATGAATGTGAGGCAGTGTGAAGAACATGATCTCATACACAAGTACAGGGGCGTAAGCACCACTGAATTCAGTGGGACTTGCTTTCAAATAATATGAACAGACAGAATAGCGTATGCCTGGAGGTGCCGGGCAATTTACAATCCAAACCACAGACTGCAGGCTTTCAGTAAAATATAAATGTGGAAATAAAAGAATCCACCAATCTCTTAATTTTCTCCTTATTTCTACTAGAACCCTCATCTAGACAAAGAGAATCCAACTTTTGCTAGAATGTTTAGATGTCATTAAGAAACGTCATTCAAATAATGTGAAAGCCTGCAGTCTGTGGTTTTGGATTGTAAATTGCCCAACACCCCCAGGCATACACTAATCTGCCTGACCACATTACTTGCCTCCTCAAAACACTATGATAATAAAGTAGATAAATAGGTACCACTTCGGTGGGAAGGTAACAGCGTTCCGTGCACCTTGGTGTTTAGTCATGCCGGCCACATGACCACGGAAACGTCTTCGGACAGCACTGGCTCTTCGGCTTTGAAACAGAGATGAGCACCGCAACCCTAGAGTCAGATTCGACTGGCTTTTGAGCAAGGGAACCTTTACCTTTAATGAAACTGAACTGTCACATTTGACTGCAAAAGTTTTTTTTAAAATAATCACTTATTAATCTGATGTTTCCAACCATGGTTTGATCTATACCAATCAACTGAGATAGCGAATAGTATAGTATATACTTTAAAATATAAGTTAACAGTTAATTTTTATTTAAATTATTTACAATGTTATCTTAATCTTGCCACACTTAAGGCATAAATGACATTTCCACAGAAGCTGCAAAACCTCTCAGTCATCCATTGGAACAAGTGTTGAATTATAAAACACAGCCATATCTATCTGAAAAAAATCAAGCCACTGTTAACACAGAAGGATCACTTTGGGACCTATTTTGCCCACACAATTACTCAGATTCTGTTCCCTTGGGGATCAAAACTCTGAAAACAGTCAGAACCAGAGGTTCAATCTTGACCCAAAAGTCAGTTTGGCAATAACCAGTAATAACTCATTCAGGGAACAAGACACCAAACAGGTCTTGTTGTCTGCCTAGTGCCAGTCCTCAGTGGAAGTTCATTTCCTTCTACCCAAGTCACTCAAGCTTGACATCCTAGATTCTGTGATCCCGGATGGTGAGAGGCAACACTGATGCGCATGCGCACGGAACGCTCTTGTACTTTCGGGGGGATTTAAACATCCCCCGAAAGATTTTTCAAGTTTTAGGATTTTTGTGCACCCCTGGGGACTGCCCCAAGAGTGCACAAAAATCTCCCTGCCCCCCAGGTCACCCCTGAGCGCGGATTTAGCGATCCGCACTCACTGGGCGACTTGGCTATTAGTATAAGTGATATAAAATTATCCTTGATATACACCATTATGTTATATAATCCCTCTTTTTCTTTCTATATCCTTTCTATACTATTATTTTGTTTTCCAAAATGAAAGGGGGGGGGGGAGAAGTTCAGGCTTCCTTTTATAAAGGGTGAAGGTCAGCAAAATGGCTTTAATATGCCAACTGGCATCTCCCCGTGTTCATCTTGAAGTTCCACCTTGTCATATATGAAAATGATTTCTCAAATAGGAGGTTGAAGCCCATAACGGTTTGGCTGATGGTCCTGCAGAAATGGCCAGGCTGCCGCAGGTATAAAAGGGAGAAGGAAACTAGGACTTTCATTTTCCTCCACGTGAGAGGCTGAAGCAGATGGATGCTGGAGTAAGGATGGGGCTGTGGCTCAGTGGTAGAGCATCTGCTTGGCATGCAGAAGGTCCAGGTTTCCATTCCCAGCATCTCTAGTTAAAAGGATCAGGCAGTAAGTGATAAAAAACACTTCCAAGACTTGGAGAGCCACTGTCAATCTCAAGTAGACAATACTGACCTTAATGGACCAATGGTCCGATTCAGTGTAAGGCAGCTTCATATATGTCCATGTGATATGGCCTTAAAGGAGCAAATAAACAGCAATGAAAAAATTGGGAAATGCTTTTTTTGGGGGGGGGGGGGGAGAAGGAGAATTTTGAAAATTGGATTGTACCCCACCTTGAGCCCTGTTTGCAGAGGGACAGTCTAGAAACTGAATTTAATAAATAAAAATAATAATGAGTTTTTGGTGTGCCTTTCCTTCCAGGTTAAAAGATGTCAGTTTGCCTGAGCTGGGAGCTTCTGGGGTCCACGTAAGAATGCTTGCAGCACCTATCAATCCATCAGACATTAATATGATTCAAGGTAATTAGTGTGTGTGTATGTGCATGTGTGTATTGCTTTGCACAGAGTCAGATCCTCACTCATTTAGCTAAGTATTGTCTACTCGGACTTGCAGCAGCTGTCCAGGGTCTCAGGCAAAGAGACATTTTTCTAACACCTGCTACATGAACTCCTTTGAAGATTGCCAGGGATGGCACCTGGGACTTTTGAAATCTGCCTTCCATTCTCAGCAAGGAAGGCAGACCACTCATAAAGTGAATTTTCTGCATGCGGCTGCCAAACTCCTGCAGTCAAAACACTTTGTCCAAGCTGAACACCATGCCGGCTGAGGTCACACACAGATTTATAGGAACTGACTCTTTCTTGGCCATTCCTGTTTTACTGTAATAGCCACTGTGCCTCTCTGGAAACCAGAAGTTTTCTAAAGAGCTGCTTCAGATGCTACTTTTAAAAAAATACAACAGATTGTCCAAAAGTACTATGCATGTGTTGCAATGTGTGAACAAGTGTGAAAACAATGGGATGCTTGGCTGCAAAGTACAGAGATGCAGCGAATACATCTGCAGCATATTCATTTATCTTTATAAGCTGCCCTGACTCTGGATGGCCCAGGTTGGCCAGATCTTGTCAGCTCTTGGAAGCAAAGCAGGGTCAGCCCTGGTTAGTATTCAGATGGGAGACCACCAAGGAAATCAAGGGGTGCTCTGCAGAGGCAGGCAATGGCAAAACTACTTCTGAATGTCTCTTGTCTGAGAGCCCTACAGGGCTCACCATAAGTTGGCTGTGACTTGTCAGCACTCCCCATTTTTGCATAAGCTGTTAATGGGGTTGGCCAAGAGATGGAATCTTTTTATAGTTACCAAAGAAAGGTATGTCCAGCCATGCTGTTCTGAAGGCTGTGGAAGGTGGGGTGGCAGTTTCTGCAGATTCCCCTATCCCATTGTAACATCTTCTCTTTGCCCTTATACTGTCTTGCAGCCCCCAAGAACAAAAGTTTGGGTGGGGGACAAGGGAGGAATATGTGAGTGGCACCATGATGCAGAAGCAGCAAAGTCCATGGATCTTGTTATAGAAACCATTATCCAAAGCAACCCTGGAGAGCACTTTAAAGCCAACAATTGCTTGGAGATTCGTGGCACTCAGAGTGCAGTGGTTGTTCCAGGACCACAAAGACCAACCTTTGTGTGTGTGCGCGCGCGCGCACCTGGAAGTCAGGGCAGACTCTGGTGAGGCCTGGAGGATATTCAGAGAGGTGGCTGAGTAAAGCCTGCCCCTGTCCTCCCGACTGCTGGTATTGCAGGGAGGTCTCCCATCCAAGTACTTGCCCAGAATTGACCCTGCTCAGCTTCTGAGATCTGATGAGATCAAGCTTGCCTGGGCTATCCAGGTCAGGGCAAAGACCTACCTTTATATCCCTATTCTGCCATTGAAATTTAACCGAGTGACCTTGGGCCAGTGAACCTCACTCAGCCTAACCCTCCTCGCTCATTAAAATGGGGAGAGGGAACCACAGATACCACCCTGACAGAAAAGTGAGAGGGAAAAGGGTAATTTAGTTCTGATCACGTTGCAGGGTCGTACGCGGTTGTCCCAGACTTCCCTGCGGTTGGGGGGAATGAAGGAGTTGGACAAGTGGTGCAGATTGGCAGTAACGTGACCTCTCTGAAGCCAGGTGACTTGGTGATACCAGCAGATGCAGGACTCGGTGAGTGGAATTAATATTTAAAAAATATTTTAAAATACGTAAGGCAAAACCAAAAAAAGAACTGGAATATCTTCCCCACAGGTAAGTTGTGAAGAAAAGAAAACAAACACTTCCTTCCCTCCCCCTTCCCTTAGGACAGTTTCAGGAAGGTAACCATGTTGATCTGTAGTAGAAGAGCTAAATTTGAGTCCAGTGGCTCCACAGAGACCAGCAATATTTGGAGGAGTATAAGCATTCTAAAGTCAAAGCTCCCGTCATCAGATACAAGTCTGAATGGAGATCCCCGAGTCCTTATATCCCAGTCAAAAGGAGGAGTGTTGAAAAGAAGGGAGTCAGGATGCAGAAGTGCAGTGTGCATTGTAATCAGCTTGATGAATATGCATATGGCACCTTTGTGTCCTGACTGCCTTCTTTGTAACACCCCCCCCCCCAACCTTCCAACTGGGATATAAGGTCTTGGGGAACACCATTCCTATCTGTATGTGACAAAGGGAGCGTTGACTCTCCAAAACCTCGTTAGTCTCTGAGGTGCTACTGGACTCAGATTTAGCTCCCCCCTCTCAAGGACTTCCCTGATTTTTCCCAGCCTAATTCATCTGCAGAGATTTCCAGCACCTGGTGCACTGTCTTCAGCCACAGCTTGAGAATGTCAGAAGATAGGTTAGCAACCTCTTCATCCTTCCCATTGATTGAGAATGTGGGCATATAAGAAGGGAGATCCAGTGTCCTTTAGCAGGCCTGTAGCTACAGAGGGACTTTTGGGGCTCCACCCCCTTTCTTAAAGGCATAGCCCCACAAGAATTTATCATGTAAATGCTTTTTAAAATCATTTAAAAACATTTTTAAAATTTTAAGCAGACTGGGGTGCTGTAGCTGACTAATTCCCGCACTGAGCAAGGGGGTTGGAGTAGGTGGCCTCTAGGATCCCTTCTAACTCCTTGTCAAGAAACTGGTCTCCTTTAAGAGAGTCTTTCTGCCTAAGTGTTAGCTTTCTTGACTACAGAAGTCATCACCCCCAGCTGCCAGCTTGTTATCAGAATTGTTGCCTAGGCTGGCAGAAGTGATTAACGTGCAGCAGCTGAGAACTGTCATCTAAAGTGGCTGACTGCTTGCAATTTAGCGATCTAACCTGGTAACAGCTTTCTATAGGCTAAATGGCTTTTATTTTTATTTATTTTATTGCATTTATACCCCGCCCTCCCCACGAACGGGCTCAGGGCGGCTCACATAGGGCACTAAGTGCGTACAGTATACAAAATTACAAAATACAAAATTCAGAATTAAAACAGTTTAAAATCAATTCTACTGAGAACTTCAGCCCCACAAGCCACAAAATCCTGGCTAAGGTCATGTCCTTTAGTGGATGGTGTGTTGGACTTGACTCTTGGAGACCTGCCACATAATCCTTTTGCAGCCTTTGAGCAGGTTACTTGGGCCTATTTCTGACAGAAGTGTTTGGGCTGTACCACCAGAGCTGGGGGAGTTCACTATTTAGCAGTATTGGCTTTCTCTCCTACCCTTCCATCATAAGACTCGACACAGCCTTGTGATAGTTTTTATTTACTTCATTTCTTACCCTGCCTTTCTCCCTAGTGGGCCCTTCATATACTTTCAGCCTGACCTACCTCACAGGGTTGTTGTTGTTAGAAAACAGAGAAGGAGAGAATGATATTCTTAAGCCGCTTTGAGTCTCAACTTGGGGAGCAAAACAGGATACAAATAAATGCAAATGGGGACCCAAAGCAGCTTATATTTTATCTGCATGACAACCCAATGAGGTAAGTTAGGGGAAGTGTGTGAAAGGAAGCCAGCAAGGTTCCATGGCAGAGCGGGGATTCCAACCTGGGTCTCCTGGATCCTAGTCTGACACTGTAATGGCTGCAGCACAGCACACTGGATGTCTGTGGTTCCACCCAGGCATTGACCAGACCTAGACCCACTTATCTGTAGCATGGGGGCTACTTCATGTGCCATCTAGAGATCTCTTGGGACCAAATATTAGAACGTTATTCCCTCTCCTGAGGGTCCACAATGTAAAATTAACACTAAAATACTGAGAAGAGGAGGTGGGGCTGTTCAAATGTTGTAGCAAACTGCAGTGAATACAAACTGCAGTTCACAAAACAGCTACCGACCCTTGTTTGATGCCAGCCAGCAAAGCCCAGTTTTCTTGTGTTGTCTGAACGCTGACTGCCCAGCTAATGGGCAGATTGATGACAACGTTTGCAGTGATGTCTGACTTGCAACTTTTTAAACATGCAAACGTGTGTTGTTCCGATGAACAGTGGCTGTAGGAAGCAGCATACCCTTCTTGCTCTGATGGAAAACAACTTTTCTAGCATGTTCAGAAAAGCTATTGCAGGCCTGGGAATCCGGACCTGATCTGTGGAGTCCCAAGCCTGTGCCTGCTGTCTCTCACTCTAATGCCTGCATTTTCAAAAATGAGCTCACAAGGGCGAATTCTTCATGCCAGAGAAATGAAATTGTGAAGGGCATAAAAGACACCTGGGGCAGCGTTCTTTATTGTTGCTGCTGTCAGAAGTGAAGCGGCTGTGTTTGGCTCATTCCAGCTTCTTCCATATCACCAATTTTGTCACGGCGATCTCAAGTAATAGGATTTGGGGGCTTTACTACTTCAATATGCTCCAGGTGAAGACAGCAACTGCTGGAAACCATTCAGGCAGTGCCTCCCTGGTCGACTTGCAGAATCCGAGTAGGCTGTAGGGCATGATGGATTCCAACCAGAGAACCTTAATGTCTTTTGGTGGTGTGGTACAGTGTTCAGAGTCATACCAGCATCTGGGAGGCCTGGCATGCAATCCCCACTGGGCCATGATTCTCTTGGAGGGGGGGCACTTAGGGCCAGGGTCGTGGCTCAGTGGTAGAGCCAGGGCTTTTTTTGTAGAAAAAGCCCAGCAGGAACTCATTAGCATAATAGGCCACATCCAACAGCAGAAACTCATTCGCATATTAAGCCACACCCCATACATTCCCTTGGTTTGCCCAGGAAGGGAAGGGAAGGCAGTTTAAACTGCCTTTCCTTGGCCTGCCTGGGTGCCACGTGGCTGCAGGGAGCCCGGGAAAGCCGGTCCTTGGACAGGCTGGGGAAGGCACGGGGAGGCACCCTAGCCCACCTGCCTCGGAGTTGCTGGCGGGTTGCTCTCCAGGCCTTCTCTCTGTATCCACGCATGTAGAGGTTTTGGCTGTAGTGGGCGTGGCCAACTCTGAAGCCAGCTGGAACTCCGTTCCTGTGCGTTCCTGCCCAAAAATAGCCCTGGGTAGAGCATCTGCTTGGCATGCAGACGGTCTTATGTCAATCCCTGGCATCTCCAGTTAAAGGATCTGGCAGTAGGTGATGTGAAAGGCCTCTGCCTGAGACCTTGGAGAGCTGCTGCCAGTCTGAGAAAACAATTATTGACCTTGATGGTCAATATTCAGAATATGGCAGCTTCATATGTGTTCATGTGTATATCACAGGGCTGTACTGTGCATGAAATGATATAGACCCATGTACCTCTCTGAGCTTTTCAGAGGAAGAGAGGGATACCAGTGTACTAGACAGAACTTCACATTTGCCCTCTTGAGAGCCAGTATGGTGTAGTGGTTAAGTAAAGTAAAGGTTCCCTTGCTCGAAAGCCAGTCGAGTCCGACTCTAGGGTTGCGGTGCTCATCTCCGTTTCAAAGCCGGAGTACATGGACTCTATTCTGGGAGAACTGGGTTTGATTCCCCACTCCTCCACTTGCACCTGCTGGATGACCTTGGGCAAGCCATAGTTCTGGCACAGCTGTTCTTGAAAAGAGCAGTTTCTCTCAGAGCTCTCTCAGCCCCACCTACCTCACAGGGTGTCTGTTGTGGGGAGGGGAAGGGAAAGGAGTTTGTAAGCTACTCTGAGACTCCTTTGGGTAGTGAAGGGCATGGTATAAATCCAATCTCTTCTTTTTTTCTCTTATGAGGGGTTGTTTGGATTTGAGACCCAAGATCCTGCTCAAAAACATCCTAAAGAATGACTCCAAGAGATATATCTGGGACTTAAGCAAAGCTTGAGCCTTCATTAGCTGTCTAAAACACAGCCAGTTAGGTGTAGTGGTTAAGAGTAGTGGACTCGAATCTGGAGAACCAGGTGTGATTCCCCACTCCTCTACTTGCAGCCAGCTGGGTGACCTTGGGCCAGTCACAGAGCTCTCAGCCCAAAAAAATAAACCTAACTCGCCAAAAAAAGAGCTAGAACTTCAAGCTGACAGAGAAGCTTAGGATCTCCTGTCTATGCTACACCCACTGCCATATGATAATAATTAACTCGTCTAAAGGCAGAGAAAGAAACAACATTACTGTTGTTGGCACACATGATAAGAACATAAGAGAAGTCATGTTGGATCAGTGGTCAAAACCCAGGGGTCACGGTGCTTCCTACAGCCACAGTTAATCAGAACAACACACACATTCTCATGATCTTTTACTTCCGGAGCCTTTAATGTGTTTCTCTTAGACCTTTTTTTTAAACTTGGAAATTTGTAACTGGTTAGTTACAGCAGCTTCTAAATTGGTCTTGTGCCTCATCCTGTGCTTCAGGGACCTGGCGAACAGAGGCAGTATTCGAGGAGGAGAAGCTGCTGAAAATGCCCCCAGATATCCCACTGTTGAGCGCAGCCACCTTGGGAGTCAACCCCTGCACAGCTTTTCGGATGCTGTCCGACTTTGTGACCTTGAAACCGGGTAGGTATTTGGCAGAGCTCTGGCTTTCTTTCTTTTTTAAGTGAATCCTTGGCCAAGTATTATTTTCTCTAGCTTTGGGGACAAGAACCAGTGGTTGATTTGTTACTTGGGTACCTGTGTGGCTATAGCAGAAGCATCGGGTGACAAAAGGAACTGATGGTTTTAGTTTAAGGTGTGGGGAGGGAGGAGAGTTGCTCATAACAACATAGCTCTGGTCAACAAAGCTGCTGTTATTACCAAGGGGCCCTTGAGGCAGAGCCAGATGCTGAGAAGGAGCAGCAGTGATCATTGTGTGCCCCCTTCCGGAACGACCAGGGCTCCCTGTGCGGGATTCTTTAGACACACAACACTCAGCTTATTATTACTTGCGCAACCAGCTGTATAAAGCTGGGACATGCTCTCACTTTACAGGGATGGAAACGCTGCTGGGATTTTCAGTGAGGACAACGGGAGGAACTGTGGGAGCACAGATGACTAGGAGCACATTGGCTCGCCCTCCTTGTTGAATCTCAGCTGCAAGACCATGCAGAAAAGGCACTCTTAGTGGCTGCTTCTGGGCTATGCATTTCATCCCCCCCCCCTTTTGCTAAAACTAGCACCTAAGCATCTTCCAGATGTGGTGCAGGATTTCTTCCCCTTCCCCAGGTGACTTTTGGTGGCCAGGAATGGAGAGGGAATAGAAAGAAATGAAGGCAGTTTGTTCTTACCGGCGGCCTGAATAGCCTAGCTTAGCCTGAACTTGTCAGATTTTGGAAGCTAAGCAAAGTCAGTCCTGATTAGCACTTGGATGGGAGACCACCAAGGAAGTCCAGGGTTGCTGCTATGCAGAGGCAGGCGCAATGGCAAGCCACCTCATTTCTGCCAGTTTGGAGTAGTGGTTAAGTGTGCAGACTCTAATCTGGGAGAACCAGGTTTGATTCCCCACTCCTCCACTTGCAGCTGCTGGATGACCTTGGGCAAGCCACAGTTCTGTCAGAGCTGTTCTCTCAGAGCTTTCTCAGCCCCACCTACCTCACAGGGTGTCTGTTGTGGGGAGGGGAAGGGAAAGGAGATTGTAAGCCACTCAGACTCCGAGTGAAGGGCGGGGTATAAATTCAATCTCCTCCTCTTCATCATCATCATCTCTTGCCTTCAAAAACTTATGGGGGTCGCCATAAGTTTGCTGTGACTTGACGGCACTTTACCCAAACACACACTCACGTTACATGCCTGTAGTCTTTAGGAGGAGACGGGCTATAAATAAAATACCTTTTGTCCTGCCAGTCACAAACGTTTCCCTTCTTCATTGTGCGCTCTCCTTCTCCATCCACCTCATCACATGTACACCCGAAGGTTCTTTTTCATTTGTTACCAATTAGTGATTATTTTAACCTCAGCGTCGATACTAACGATCACCACTGCCCATAGAACTAACAAGAGCCAAGTTGTTTTTCCCTTGCTAGAAATAATCTTGGTGCAGTGACCAGGTGACTGAACCACTTCCTCACTTCTAGATCGGGCCGTCCAAATAAGGAATAAAGGATGGTGATGAATTGGCGTTTGGGGTAGTGGTTAAGAGTGCAGACTCTAATCTGGGAGAACCGGGTTTGATTTCCCACTCCTCCACATGCAGCTGCTGGTGTGACCTTGGGTCAGTCACAAGTTCTGTCAGAGCTGTTCTCTCAAGGGCAGTCCTCAAGAGAGCTCTCTTAGCACCACCCACCTCACTGGGTGTCTGTTGTGGGGAGGGGAATGGAAAAGAGATTGTAAGCTGCTCTGAAACTCCTTTAGGTAGTGAAGGGTGGGGTATAAATCCAGTCTCTTCTTCTTCCACTGTATGGCTACTCCTTCCTTCCTGTCTTCTGCAGCTGTTTTGAGAATGAAAGATAACGAGCAAGTTTAAAGCTAGAGCCGCATCTGTTTGTCTGCAGGAGATGCTGTCATTCAAAACGCAGCCAACAGCGGAGCGGGACAGGCTGTCATCCAGATTGCTGCAGCCAAGGGTATCAAAACAATAAATGTGGTCAGAGATAGGTGAGTGTATTGCAGAACTTCTCTGTAGATTAATCGCCTCTTCAGAGGTCTTGGAGCCACCCTGCGTTTTGACCCTGTCCAGCTCCCTTAGTTAACTGCTTCAGTCTAGCGAGGAGGGGGATTCCCAACTCATGTTTTAGCAAGTGATATATTCCGCTATAAGTGCAATAACGTCTACTTCCCTTCTTCTTGGAGTTGTTTTCGCCAACTTTTTTGGGGTGTCCTCCATTTTAACGCTTTATTTTCATATACAATCGCTTTCTCCCCAGCTCTGAAAATCGCTTTATGCTGTTTAATCGCTTAGATGCTCATGGATATCTCCCACAACAGGCCTGTACGCTTAAAAATAAAGTCTTTCAGAAATGTCTCCCCCCCCCCCCCCTTTTTTTAAAGCGTCAGAGAGACATCCCTCTCCCAGCACAATTGCTTAAGAGGTTTCGGGGGGGATTTCGCTTCAAAGTATCCGTTTACAATAGTTTCTCTCCCCCCCCCCCTCCGCTTATGTAAATGCATCTGAGAGGCGTCCCTCTCTCAGCACAGTTCCGATCACTCAAAACGTTTTTCCTTTTTGGGGGGGATTTTCTCTTCTGAAGACAATTCGCTCATTTTAACTCACAGTTCGCTCCTTAACTCACAGTTCATTGTTGGTCTTTATCTTGACCACGCTCTTCATCGCTCCTCCACTAGATCTACTGCGCTTAACCGGATAAACATAGCTTATGGCCTCACTGAGAGGACACAGTCAGCAGGAGGGACGGTCAGGGCGGAGGGGAGCCTCCATCTCCCTGCAGGTAGCAGGAAAAGAGGCTCACCCTCAAAAGCCCTGTGGCCTGGGAGTTCCCCCCGAACCCCCGTGGAGGTGCCGATCCAGCGGCACCTCTCCTCCCCGCTGCTGTACCGTACACCCCGCCTCCCAGGGCTGACCTGGATGGCCATGGCTAACCTGATCTTGTAAGGTAAGCTGGGTCAGCCCTGGTTAGTATTTGGATGGGAGATCACCAAGAAAGTCTGGGGTCGCTATGCAGAGGCAGGCAATGGCAAACCACCTCTGTTCCTCTCTTACCTTGAAAACCTCGTGGGAAAGCCTTGGGTACTTAATCTGAAGAACAGTGTCTCTTTTTTCCCCCTTCTCCACTCCAGCTCATCTCCTGTTTTCAATTTCCTGCTTTACTCCTTATCTCTGTTTCAGAATGTAAGCCTGCAAGAAGGGCATCCAAGTAACTTGTTCTACGCACAATATTGTAATAATATTTTTAATATTGCACCAGCTATTAATAATAATCATCATGGCTGTGGTGCAAAATAGAATTTGCTCTTTTATCTCAACATGGGGGAGGGTCTCACTCTGGCTCCATAGTTTTTGGTAATTTTACAACTGTGTACCGGTCTTTGGGTCACGTCAGCCAGAGGTGAACATGGGAATGTTGGTTAAAAGGGATATTTCTGGGGAAGAAAAGCTATAGCTCAGTGGTAAAGCAGATGCTTTGCATGCAAGGTCTTGGGTTCGATCCCCAACGTCTCCAGTTAAAGGATCTTGAGGAGAAGATACTGAGAGAGACCTTCCAATGGCCAAAACCTTGGAGAATTATTTCTAGTTAGAATAAGTAATATTGTGTTAAATGGCCCAATGGCCCAGTTCAGTAGAAAGCAGCTTCATATGTTCACAGCAGAGTGCTGTGAAGGTCTTGCCCAGTGTTTATAATTCCAGTTTCTCGAGCAGAATGTGCCTGAAGCCCAGCTGAGCAACCGGGCAGTGGGGTCCGCAGCATACCAGGAGTGCAGGAGAGTAGAAGAATGACTTTCTTCTCTCAGTGCTTGTAGGCATGCAGGTGTCTGCTCATGAGAGCAAGAATTCTCACAGCAATGAAGCCTTTCGGGCCAACAACATCCTTCCCTTTCCTTCTGTGCAGCTTGGCCTGGTTAACATCAAGTGTCAGCTTCATCTGGATCCCTTTTATTTGTTCTTCCTTGCCAGACCCAACCTCCAGGAGCTTGTAGACAGGTTGAAATCCCTTGGGGCTGATCACGTCATCACAGAAGAGGCATTGAGAAAGCCAGAAACAAAAGACTTGCTTCAGGTATTAAGCATGAATCAAGTTTGTTTGGGAACCAAGGGAAAACTGAATTACCATGACAAATCAGATCATCTAGTATCAGTCCCTGACAGTGGGCACATTCACACATGCTGAATAATGCACTTTCAGTCCACTGTCTGTTCACTTCTGTGATTTTTTTGGTAAGTGGATTTTCCCATTTCACACATGAAATCCAGTTGCAAAGTAATCTGAAAGTGCATTATTCAACATGTGTGAAAGTGCCCAGTGTCTTGGAGAAAGATGCTGAGGGGTGGCCAGTGATGATGAGATAGATGTATTTAGGTAGTTGCTATGTCCCGCTCAGAAACATAGATTAACATCTTGTATACTCTTAGTCTGATTCACGGCTCCCATATAAGATGAGCTTTGCTGGATCAAACCAAAGATGCATCTACTTCCTGATTCCAACCTAGTGATCCCTGGGCCTACAAACAGGGCACAGAGGTCTAAGCCCCTGTGGTGTTGCCCACCTGCCATTTAACTTTCCTGGCTAATAATCAGCAGTAGACCTCTCCTCCTTGAACAAAAATAATTTCCTTTCCGGAGGCTGCCTTATTTTGCATTTGGTCAAATCTCGTGGAGACTTGACAGTGATCAACCCTGGTTAATCTTCTTTGCCAAGCAAAATCTATCTAGGGTGTGGATCTCCTTTGAGACTGCAGGAATCCCGGCCCCAGAGGGTGGGAACCTTATTGCCAAGCGAGACTTTGAGGGAGTAATGGAGAAGAAGAGGGTGGTCAAAGGCTGGAATGTCATCTCCATATGCAAAGGTGGTATACTTCAGAATGTTAGTTGCTTGGGGCTTCATAGTGGGGCAGCTCTGCCCTTTGTGCCGTGTTTGTTAGTTTCTCAAAAACATCTGGTTGGCTGCTGTAGAAAATGGAATGCTGGACTAGATGGATGCCAAGGTCATAGTTTGCCTGGGCTGGCCCTGGATGTGTCACCACACCTAGTAAATTTGGAATTGTTTGCTTCCATTCCGAAAAGGTTGGGAACCACTGACTTAGGAGACCTGTAACCATACTGTAAAAAGGTAGGGGGAGCTGAAAGCAGCCATGAGGCTGGGGAATTTGCCCTTCTCCTGATGCAAATCAACAGCAGCGTTCTCTCAAGCTACCACTTACCTGCTAGGAAAACATGTGCATGTTCCTGTATGTTACCTATACAGGCTTCCCAACCCGTATGGCAAATAGCAGCTTCCTGGTGGGGGCAGGGGGGCAATCAAGAAAGTGGTTGGGGTGGGAAGATTAGAAACCCTTTCCCCTAGCACAGCCCCAAACCAAATATTTAGCAATTGGTGGGAAGTACTAATCAGAGGCCTCTTGGGTCAGTAAATACTCCAGCACCACCTTGTTAATTCTTCCCTTATGAGCAAAACCTTTGAGAACAGGAATGGGAGAAATTAACTTGTTTCTCTGTAAACACCTTTTTTTCCCTCTTGTTACCCAGAAAATCCCTAAGCCCCTATTAGCACTGGATGCTGTGGGAGGGAAAAGTGCCACAGAGATGCTGCGCCATCTCCAGTAAGTCGAGCCGCTTGCCTGTTACTTGCTAGAGGCCTTTCTTTTTTCAGAGGTTACAGACTCACCCAAGCTGCAGTGGGGAAAGGAAGCTTTAATGGATGGGTGTGTCATTTGTGAGCCCTTTTGATCAGGAAGGGGGGAAGAAAGTTGTGGGTGACCTAAAAATCTTACAGCAAGTGGATTGTTAAAAAAACAAAACCTTCATGGGGCAGAGATCCACCTCACAATTCAAACACCTTCCAGTCATTTGAAGCTTTATTGCAAAAGCTCAACTTGGGTATCACTGGAAGTTGCAGAGGTATGACCAGTCAGAAAAATGCCTCGTTTGCTAAAGGGAGACTGAAATTCCAGTGGAAACTGTCTTACTGGCATATGGGAGAGGAAAATGTGAACTTTGTGCCTCCAGGGGAGTGCAGTTCCCAATCTGCGGAGCAGCCACAAGACTCCACTCTGCACGCCTTCGCTTTTTAGATTTTGCTGCAACATAAGGGTGCACTGTGCAAGAAGATATGTGCCTTAAGGAGTTTACAATTTTAAATACATACTGATACTTGGGAGATAATGTTTTTGGCTAGGTTGTATTCCTCAATGGCTAAGGCTACAGGAGAGAACCTTTAGGGTCTACCAGGATCTACAGGCATAGTACATTTTTAGACAGGCAAAATTTGGCAGATTTGAAGATTTTAGTCTCTAGCTGTTACAGTTCTTTCTGAAGAGAAATAGGCTCCTTAAAGGATAACATTTAGACCACAAAGATAGATTCAGGTTGGGTAGCTGTGTTGGTCTAAAGCAGCAGAACAAAGTTTGAGTCCAATGGCACCTTTAAGACCAACAAAATGTTTTATTTAAGGTGTACGAAAGCTTACAGCTTAAATAAAACCTTGTTGGTCTTAAAGGTGCCATTGGACTCAAACTTTGTTCATTTCGACCACAAGTATGTGAATTTTGGGGGGTGAGTGTGCTTTTTTGTTCCTGCCCTGCCTCGCTTTCCCACTGCGTGTCTAATTTTTACACTGTGAATCCTTGGGGGTGGTAACAGCATTTCAATATTTGGTCCCTGGACATGGTCTGAAAGCATGTGACATGGTGGGTTTGTAGAAGCTAAGCCAGTCTGGATCTGGCTAGTGGTTGGGATGGGGGACCTTCAGGGAACCTCATGTTGACAGCCTTGGTTCCATGGTGGAAGAAGCTGTTGGTCATACTTGCATGGCACTGTTAGGTGTTACCCACTGAGCAAAGATGGCATAGAGATGGAGGCAGTTGGCCAGTAACTCAGGAAGCTGGCCGGAAGAGTACGCCAAAGGCCTGATCAGAGAGAATAGGCTTGCGGTCTGGAACCGGTTGTCTGTCTCTTTTTGCTCCCTAACTTCATTTGACTCCTCCAATAGGTATAAAGGGACCATGGTTACCTATGGTGGGATGTCAAAGCAGCCTGTGACGATTCCCATGGTGAGTAGCTGTAAGATTTCTGGTTCCCTTGCTTTCTTTTAAACTTTATTTATCCTCTCTCACATAGCCATTTGTGTGTTTCTTGCAGTGTGGCTGTATTGGCTAGAGTATCAGAGTAGGATCTGAGAGGCCCGGGTCTGAATCCCCTTGTCTGGGAAGAAATAAAAATTTGCCCCACTCAAGGAATGCAGGCCAGTATTTGTGGTTCACTCCACCTCTGCTTTATCCTCATAACAGCCCTGTGAGGTAGATTAGGCTGAGTGAGCGTCATTGGGGGGGTGGAGTGCCATGAACTTGGCTTTCTGTGCTCCTCATGGGACATACTGACTGCTACGTCACACCGATGCTCGACCTGCATGAATTCGTTCCCATTGTATTTGCCCTTTGTTGTGGCTCAGCCACTCACCACCACCCCAGAAACCATGTCGTTCTAAGACTCAAATAGGCTCCTAAAGAAAAATCTAGTTCAGGGGTCCCCTATGTGGTGCCTGTGGGCGCCATGGCACAGATTTCGTGGTGACTGCTAAGCATTTTTAGAAAGTGGGCAAAGCTTTTGCCCAGCAGGGCTTCTGATTGGCCATTGGAGATCTGATTGGCTATGCAGATTTTTGAAAATGTTGCTTTGGCAGCTGCTGCCACCACAGCACTGCGTGACTGAAGGTAAGCTGTGACAGCAGCCATTTTGTGGCTGGCTCCGCCTCCTGCAGTAGCTATTTTGTGGCTGTGCCTGCCACATGGTGCCCCTGAGCTCAGAAAGGTTGGGAACCCCTGCTCTGTTCCAACACTTCTTCAGTGAGCTGTAATTCTGCTTGCTTCTGCAGAGTGCACTGATTTTTAAGGACATACGGCTTCGTGGTTTTTGGATGACCCAGTGGAAGAGAGACAACGCCCAGAGTAAGTGGTTGCACGGATTACTGGTGTTTCTAAGGGCAGCCCAAAAGAGGATGTCAAAAGGCTACTTTCAGATTGTCTATAAAAACAAGCAAAAGCAGCCCCCAGGTTTTAGGACATTCCTTTGACTGAGCTTACCACTGGCATTCAGAGTCTGATCCTAGTATCTGAGCTAGATTCGAATCGAGTAGCACGTTAAAGACCAACAAGATTTCCAGTGTCTAAGCGTTCAAGAGTCAAAGCCCCCTTTGTCAGATACATTCGTCAGAAGGGAGCTTTGACTCTCAAAAGCTTATATCCCGTAAACCTTGCTGGTCTCTTAAGGTGCTACTGGGACTCAAACTCAGCTTTTCTACTGCAGACCGACACAGCTACCTCCAAAACTGTGCTAGTAGCTGAGAGCTTTCTGAAGACCCCAGCGTTTCAAGAGGATATCCTGTCTGTGCCAGAGCACCAAGGAGGCTTACTGAAAAAACAGGAAGTTGGCTTCTAACTACATCCAGGGATTGGAAAGTTGTGTTACTGTGCCATGAATTGCAAAGCCTGGCAGCTTCTTAGAATCCCAAGATTTATGACCCAGCTTAGTTGCATCCTATTTGACATTGTTGGGTGAATAAAAAAAACAATATTTCAAGTATGTAGGGAGATTTTGCAAGGGAGAAAAAATGCTCTGAAAGGTGCTTCTGGTAGCCAATAAATGGACAATATCTCCCTGTTTCTTCCTTATGGATCTTCACCCCTGGGCCACTGGCCATACTTCCTTTTTGCAAACATATGCACTCATGCACATTCCTATCTCTGTGTCCCTTTTCTTCCTTCTGCCATTGCCAATCTCAGAAAAAAGTCTCTGACAAAACCATAAATTTCATATTGTATTATAATCCTTGCCCTGACTTGGATGGCCCAGGCTAGCTCGATCTCACCAGGTATTGAGAGCTAAGCAGGGTCAGCCATGGTTAGTTTCGGATAGGAGACCACCAAGGAAGTCCAGAGCTGCTACGCAGAGGAAGGCAATGGCAAACCACCTCTGAATGTCTCTTGCCTTGAAAACTCTCCAGGGTTGCTGTGAGTTGGCTGCAACCTGATGGCACTTCACACACCTCTGAAACTAAAGCAAGTTAGTCAAGTCAACATGATGGGTATCTGCCTGTATGGAGGAAATGGAACCCGACACAGAAGGACTTTACTTTTTATTCCAATAGACATTGTTCTTTTTCCAGAATTGATATGATTTGGATGTCAGAAGAATTGTCAATGAAAACACATAAAATTGAAATTTTGCCAAGATGTAATTCTGACCACAACCCTGTTTTATGGACTTCTATAGAAAGGAACAAATCCTTTCTTTGGAGAATTAATGAAGATTTGTTGGATAAAAAAGGAAGAAACAAAGCGATTTTTCCAACAAAATCTGAACAAAGAGATCCCAATCCAGGTGGTGTGGGATGCATATAAAGCAGTGATGAGAGGGATTCTCATCTCTCAAAATGTGAAGCAAAAAAAGGAAAAATTCCAAAAATATGCAGAAGTGTTGGAAAAAATAGCCCAAAAAGAAAAAGAATTAAAAAAGAAACCTGAATTACTGAATGGCCAAATTCAAAAAGAAGAAGTGAGGAAGGCAATTGAAGAAGCGAAGTTGGGGAAAGCGCCAGGACCGGACGGATTTACTGCAAAGTTTTATAAAAAAATGAAAGAAGAAATTGTTCCGGCCATGGAAGCTTTATCCAATGAAATACGTGAGAGTAAGAAGGTGCCGGACTCTTGGAAGGAGGCAATTATTTCATTAATACCAAAGGAAGGACAAGAACCAACAAATGTGAAGAATTATAGGCCAATTT